AAGACCTTGAAGGCCACCGCAAGGAAGTAGGATTTTCTTCTAAATGTGGTGGGCAGCCACTGGGTACTTAGTGTTTTAAGATCTTTCTAGCCGTGTGTGGAGAATAGACAACAGGGTAAGAGAGGACACTGGGAGACAGGAGGTGCCCTCCAAGCAGGAGGGTATTGAGCTAGATAAGAGGGAGCCACATGACTGGAAAGACATAAACAGACTCAAATAATTCGAAGGTACAATATATAGGCAGGCTGGTTGATGGACTGAATGTGGGGGGTGGGTGAGGCAGAGGGAGGTTAAGATTCAGTCATTCATTCATCAGACAATTATTTGTAGTCCCTTCTGGGTGACAGGCACTGTTCCAGAAAGGCAGACTCTCTGGGTTTAAATCCTGGCCCTGTCACTTGCTAGCTGTTTGCCTTAGGGAAGTTATTTAACCTCTTTGTGCCTTGATTTCTTCATCTGTAAAATGGAGAGCCTAAGAACATCCAATAGGATTGTTGTAAGGGGTAATGAGTTAATATATGCAAAACCTTGGATCTGGGTGTTTGGAGCTGGATTCTGAGGCTGAGGACTGGGACTTGGGTACATGGGGCTGGTTGCTTGGGCCTGCTTCTTGGAGTAATCAACTCTCTATTTCTTTACTGGCCTTATACAGACAACTAAAACAGGATGATATACTAGAGCAGTGCTTCCTACACTCGTCTGCACATTAGAATCACCTGAAGATCATTTTCTAAAATTTCACAGCCCAGGTTGCACACAAGACCAATTAAATCATAATCACTATGGGTAAGACACAGGTATCAGTATTTTTTGAAGCCCCCAGGTGATTCCAAGATACAGAGACCTTGGGAACTGCTGTGGTAGGGAGAAACAAAGAGGCTTTTTTAATATCGGTAGTTAGGAAGGGCTTTTCTGAGGAGGTGACATTTGAGTGGAGACCAAAGAGTGAAGGAGCCATCATTGGAAAGTCAGGGTTTTGGAAAAGCCTTTGGGAAGATGTCCCCTGGCCTAGGCATTTGCATGCCTGGAGGTGTCTTTGCCCAAGGGGAGAAGATTGAGGGAAGAATGGGCTTGGGTTGGCAGGTTCCAAGAGAATGGGTGAGTAATTGTGGCTGAGTGAAGACACTCTGCCCCTTCTGCAGGTCAGCACTTGGAGCAGCTGAACCACACCATGCCCCCAGTACCTATGGGTGCTGGAAGGCAAGCCCTACTGGTTCATCAGAGTTCATGGTCGCCACCAGGGGGCATCAGTGACTACATCCCCATGTCTGCCAAGAACACCACCTGTGGCACCATCACCATGGCCACCTCCACCATCCTGCTGTGATCTGTAACTGAACAGCTCCTGGCAGATACCCCTACTTGCCATTGAGACTTCCCCCTCATGCCTGTCGCTGGAGAGAGGCAGGCAAGGGCTGTCCACTAGGCAGACTATGGCAAGGCAGAGACTTGGTCAGAGTCATGCAACAATGCTAAGATGTGGTGAGCCCCAAACCAAGCCCCTGCCTCTCTACCTCGGGCTGGCTTCAGGAGGCCTCTCTTTCCCTGCCCTCCTGCTTCTGACCCTGTTGGGAGATCTAGTTTTCCATGGGTGGGTGGAGGCTGGGCACCATCTTGGACAAGCAAGTGTATGTGAATAGAACAAAAGCAGTAAAATTGCACCAATTTGGGTTGTGTGATTATCTGTCATGTCTGGGCTGGCATTCCCCTTGGTGTTGGCTACAGGAGAAGAGTCAGTCCAATAAATACACCCTGGGAGAGTGATTAGAGACAAGCTCTCCTGTTGGGGCATTTGTGCATACAGATAAAGAACCACTAGGCCCCTGCCAGCCGCTGACTGGGCACTGGACACTTCTCTGGGAGCTAGTGCTTGGAGCTGGGAACTGGGGGCTGGATATTTAGTACTTGGGGCTGAGTTCTGAAGCTGAGTACTGGGACTTGAGTACTTGGAGCTAGGTGCTTGGGCTTGCTTTCTGGAATAACTAAGGCCACATTTCTTTACTGGCCTATGCAGATGAGCCGGTCCCCTAACCTGTCCTTTCTGTGGCTTCACAGCATATGGCTTCCCATGTGTGACCCCACCTGTCCCAGCAGCTGTCCATGAAGAGCCCAGAGGGAAGGGAGAGAGTAGACTGCTCTGGGCCTCTTCCTGGGGCCTTCCTGGGACCCCTTTTCTCTCCTCCTAAGCCAGGAAGCCCATGCTCCCTAATCTTCCACCCCTCCCCCCAGCCATCTGCTTAAAGGAAGTGGCTCCTGGGTTCTTCACAGGAAGCCACAGTCCTCCTCTGTCTCTGAAACCTCCAGATGCTGCTGGCCAGGCCCCCTCCAGGCAGGATACAGGGATGCCCTGTGCCTAGCATCACCCTCTGCTGCCCAGCCAAGAAGTGTGGCGTGCTCCTCTGTCCTTTAAATCCTTGTGGCTCAGGTCTGGGGACACAGGCTGTAGGCCAGGAGGGGAGACCTGATTGCAGAGAGTCCCGAATGCCATGCTCAGGAGTTGGAGGTCCCTGAATTGTAGCACTGAGGGTCTGAAGGGGAGAGGAGGAGGTAGGCCCTGCAGGGATCCTCGGATGGACCACTCCCTCAGCTTCGGGAGTTTCTGCGGCATAGCAGAGGCAGGGTCTATTCATTTAGGTCCCTAGCCACCGTGGAGGGGCCTGTCCTTGGGAGGGCGCCTGGTAATTGCGGAGCTGCTCCAGGCTGAGGAAGGCCGATGAAGATTCCAAGGTGGTGCTGTACTGCCACCTGGTGGTCAGATCCGCATGTAGCACTATAAAATTGTGGGAGCCTCTGCGGAGAGAGGGAGTGGATGTTCGGGTGTGGGGACTCCCTAGATAAAGGGATTTGTTAAAGAGCAATACACCCCAAATTTGAGTGCTTGAGAAAGCTATTCTAGGTCTGGATGAGAGTCCAACTCCTCTCCTTCCCCATTTTACAGACTAGGAAACTGAGGGAAATGATAAGGACACAGGACCTTGATGCTGTCTTACGGCAAGTCAGTCAGAGATGGGTTCTATTTCTGGACTCATCTTAAGGTGTGGTCCCAGAGTGAGGAGCCGCCTTGCTAGTTTCTAGTTACCCTCATTTGTGACCAAACATGGCATCTCCCAGCACCATCACCCATCACTTTAGTCATCAAAATTGGCACCACAAAGTGGCTTTTGGCGGCTTCCAAAAATAAAATTCACCCTAAGAGGGCTAGGATCTGACGGGGCCAAGGAGACTCAGAAGCATGTGCTGCCAGCTCAGCAGATGTTTTAGAGCAGGAAACTCCAGAGACCACGACATCCAACACCCACAACCCCTGTTTTAAAAACAAGGAAGTTGGGACTCAGAGAAAGTAAGTAACTTGGCTGAGGTGACCCAACCCTGGGACTGGGTCAGGACTCAGCTCTGCGTCTCTCTGTAGGCCATGGCCAGGGAGGCATCTGGAGGTGCACTGAGCATGACTTGACTTGTCGCACTAGCGAATCCTGGTGTGTGTTCACCATTCTGCTTTGTAGACGGGGTGGTTGTGGTCCATGAAGGCTGGCAAGGGTGAGAGTGGATGAAAGGATATAGGGACAAGGAGGTGGCAACATGGAGGGAGAAGAGGGGTCATGGATGCTTTTGGGGGTTCCTCATTTGTGCACTGTGAGCCCCAAGTAGGTAGGAACTCGGTCTCTTCCACTGCAGTGTCCTTAGCACCTGGCACAGTGCCTGGCACAGACTAAGAACCCAGTGAATGCCTGCAGAATGAAGGCCCTGAGTCACCCTGCTCAGGCCCAAGGGGAGCCTGTGGAAGGTGGAGTCTCCCCATAAAGAACTGGTCTGGTCTTTTTCTTTCTTTCTTTTCTGAGACAGAGTCTCACTCCCGTTTCCCTGAGTAGAGTGCCATATGGTCACATGGCTCACAGCAACCTCAAACTCCTGGATTCTCAGCCTCCCAAGTAGCTGGGACTACAGGCGCATGCCACAATGCCTGGCTAATTTTTCTTTTTAGTAGAGACGGGGTCTCGCTCTTGCTCAGGGTGGCCTCTAACTCCTGAGCTCAGGTGATCCTCCCACCTCGGCCTCCCAGAGTGCCGGGATTACAGGTGTGAGCCACCGCGCCCAGCCAGGAGTGGTCATTTTCAGTGTCATTCAGCCTGAGGACTGTTAAGGCCTCAGATCTAAACTCCTGGGGGCAGAGTTGTCTCTGTCTCGATGCTATTCGAGGGACTAAATGGAAGGGGGTGCTTCTGGGGTGAGAGACCCTAATTTGGTGCTTACCTTTGGAACAAAGGAGGGACATCCTCTGTGAGCCCCAGAGACAAACCCGACTAAGTTGTATGATCTAATTCCTGGTTGTCACTTGGCTGTTTCCTCTGTGTTTTATGCAAGTTCTTAAACATAATTATAATAGATATTTACTGAATGCTTTCCATGTGCTTGGGTTCTCCTTCCTTTCCTAGTCACAGGCCTATGGGCTCATATGCAAACTGTTCACCCTGTCCCCAAAGTTCTCTGAAGAAAAGGAGGCCTTGCTGACCCCTCAAAAAGCTGATGTCACACCCTTTCCCCAGAGCAAGGGTCTGGCCTTATATTCTCCACCTGAGGCGAGCATGCTGGTGCTTCCCGACAGAGCGGAGACCTGGCTTCTCCATCGCTGCCTCATCAGAGAAGTAACAAACAGAACAAACTGAGCTGTCCCTCCCCAAGCACCTCGTGAAATGGAGCCTGCCCATGCCTGCGGCGACAGGGGGAGAGGAGGCTGCGCTGGGCAGGAGTCCAGAGGAGGCGATGTCTGAGCCAGGTTTGCAAGGACGGAAGGGGCTTTTTCAGGCGGATCAGCTTCCGAAGGAATTCCAGGCAGAGAGAACAGCATGTGCTAAGGCCCAGACACAAAAGCAACTGGTTTGGTTCCAGGGGCTGTGGTTGACTTGATGGGAAAATGGGGGTGGGGATGTGTGGATGGAGCAGGCCAGAGCCAGATCTTGCTGAGCTTATCATTGCAAAAAATGACTCACAGAAGGACAAAGTGTTTTCTGAGAGATGTTTATTCTGTTTTCTCACCTATGTCACTCTGGAGAGTGACAGAGAAAGTGCTGGATTCTTCTCACTATAAGAGGGAGGGCAAGGAGGAAGGAGGGGGTTCCTGGGAGCCGCTGGCTACTCCTCATCCTTTTTCTTGCTCTCCATGTACTTGTGGGCAGAGTAGCCCAGAAAGGCACCAACCTTGCCCATGAGGACACTGCCACCACCACTAGCCCCTGTAAAGCAAGCACAGATGGGTCACTGGGGCCCAAGCACCAGGTCTGGGAAACCAAGTTTCTGGAAACCATTGGTGGAGTCCAACCCCCTGGTTTCCAGATGGAGAAACAGAGGCCTGGAGAGGGGATGGGCCTTCTGTAAAGTGAATTCTATTTCCACCCTAACTTGCCATGCCAAATCAGAGATGTGTTACAGAGAAGAAAAAAGCAGAAATAATGGCTCCTTCACTTCCAGTCTGCAATGAAAACACCACATTATTCATGATGCTAACAGCCACCTTTGGGGGGCCCTCACTGTGTGGGTACTGGGGGCTCACAAGCAAGGGGATCATTTCATCTTTGTCACAGGCCTGTGACAGGTGAGAGGACAGGGGACATCTTATAGCACAGAGCTGTTCCTGGCCTTGTGGCCCACTCTTCACCTGCCCCTGCAGGGGTGTGGCCTGGTCTGTCTTCCTCTCTGCGCCCTCCCAGAAGGACTCTCTCCTTTTGGGCTGTCTCTGGGCTTTTGCCATCCAGAACTGAGAGAAGATGGAAGGTTCAGAAAGGCAGAGAGGAAGTTTGTCAGGGACAGATTTCTCTAGGCCCCAGAGGGTGGGGGAGAGAGGGAGAGAGAAAGAGAGAAGTGAAGGTGATTTTTTTAGAAGAGTCATTCCGAGCTCCGTATCTGTCCCCTTCATGGTGTTCAAAAAGTGCATGTCAAGGCCAGGCGTGGTGGCTCATGCCTGTAATCCTAGCACTCTGGGAGGCCAAGATGGGTGGATCATTTGAGCTCAGGAGTTCGAGACCAGCCTGAGCAAGAGCGAGACCCCATCTCTACTAAAATTAGAAAGAAATGAGCTGAACAACTGAATATATAGAAAAAAATCAGCCAGGCACGGTGGCGCATGCCTATAACCCCAGCTACTCAGGAGGCTGAGGCAGGAGGATCACTGGAGCCCAGGAGTTTGAGGTTGCTGTGAGCTAGGCTGATGCCACGGCACTCTAACCATCAGGAATTACAGCTGAGGGAACTGAGGCTTGTTGTGACTTGGCCAAAGCATCGGTGAGGCACCTGCCCTTAGAGGCTAAAAGCGACGCTTTTGGCATCATATACTGTGTTCAAATCCTAGCTCTGTTTCAAATGCTAGCAGGGGAAAATTGAGTAAATTACTTAATTCCTCGGTGCCTCAGTTTCCCCATATGTGTGATGAAGATAAGAATATGCACCCCACGGAGCTCAGTTAGGCGTGAAAAGGGCTCAGAACAGGAGAGAAGGTCTCCGCCAGAGGACTGCACTCACCGAGGCTCTGCAGCATGGCCACCAGCCCCCCCGCGGGCACGCCGCCCCCGTTCAGGATCGCGGACCAGCTCATCAGCCAGGCCGCCGCCGAGTGGGCCGCGATGCCGGCGCCGGTGAAGCCCAGAGCCGGCAGCGCCGCGGCCCCGAGCCCTGGAGGAGGAGGCGGCGGTGAGCCAGCGCCCGGCGGGGCCCGCCCCTCCCGCGGGGCTCCGGGCGCTCCAGACCCACCTCCTCCGACGGCCATGTAGGTCAGGGTGCGCCAGGAGGGGCCCCAGCCGCTGTCCTCCGCACTCTCTCCTTCTCTTCCGCCTGCGGAGGGCGGGCGAAGTGGGGCGGGGGAGGCGCGAGGCCCCACGCTGTGCCCGGGGCTCCGGGCCGCTCCCGCAGGTGGGGCCACCGCCCTCCCGTCCAGAGCCTCGCGGAGGGGAAGGGACTTTTCCCGAGGTGCCAAGCCTGGCACGGAACCGCCAGGGAGTAAATTTCGGTAGAATGGAGTAATTGACGGAGAAGGGGGATTTGGATCCGGGACTCAGGCTACCGCAATTGCCTCCTGTAACAGCTCCTCCAGTTCGGAAGCACGCCAGGGCCTCCACATCGGGCCTTCTGACACGCCACACAGGACCCAGAAACTCTTCCCTTCTTTCTCGCACGCTCCTCCCACCCTCCAGGGTTCTTACCTGCTTCTCCCCCGACGCAGGTGAAGAGCAGCAGGTAGCACAGGAAGAGCGATACCGCCTTCTGCCGCATGGTGGCGCCGCGCGCAGGGTTTATCGCTAGACCTGAGGATGGGTGAGAGGCGGGGGCGGTCCCCAGAGTGTTTTTGGAGCTCAGCAGCTACCTCCTGCAATTCAATTCTGATGCTATGCTGTCAGACCCCACACACTGCGGGCTCAGACCCCAAGACTGCCAGTCGAAAGCCCCAGGTTGTTTTACCTGTGCTTCTGAGTGACCGGCTATTAATCGGAGTCCCCACAATCCCCTCCTTGGGTTTGCTTAACTTGCTAGAGCCACTCACTGAGGGAAACACTTTACTTACATTTACCGGTTTATTCTAAAGGATGTTACAAAGGATACAACAACCTGCCTGGGGCTGCCAGCCATCAGTCAGATCATCAGACACTTACTACTCAAAAGACACATAACTTTGAAGATGCTGAGGATTTTAGGAGTTGTATGCCAGAAAACAGGGGACAAAGATCAAGTATCACAGGGGATAATGGAGCTTGCCCAAGGTCACACAGCAAACTGTGCAACCTAGATACACATTCAAGACTGTTGGAATTCAAAACCTATGCTCTTTCCTTTATACTACAAAATGAGAAAATACATCTGCCCCCCAAACGCACCTCTAATGTGATTTTTGTCAGCTCAATGCTATTTCCTTAAGTTAAAAATAAACAAAAAACCTCCCATGTATTGAGCACTTAGGACTTCATGGCACAAAGTCTATTTGTACCTATAAAAAACCCATGAAGTGGGTACTATTGTTATCAACCATGTGTTATAGATAAGGAAACTAAAGCTCAGAGTGGTTAAGTAATTTTCCTGAGGCTGCCCAGCCAGGAAGTGGTAAAGTCAGAATTAAAACTCCAACTGACTGATGCCCAAGCCCACCCTTTCAACAACCACTCCAGATCGCTTCATCTATCCTCAAAGATGAACTTGCTGTCACATTAGATCCTACAGAAATCATTCAGTGCTTTGGGCAGGTAAGGTAGCTTAAAATCTTCATCTTACAAAGACAGCAACTAAGGCCCCAAGAGGTGGAGTGACAGGGTTAAGGCCACAGAGAGAGCCGGTATGGCACCTATACCGGTATGGCTGCTGCCTCCCTGAGGAATGGGCGTCCTGGCTCTCGGAGCATGAGGCTCGCAGGCAGGCAGCCTGGCAGAGGGTGGCAGCTTTGATACCCACACTTCACAGCTCCTGGGTTTACCTTGGAGGAGAGAAGAGAAGCAATCTTCCTGCTCGAGCCTGCTGGTAGATGGAACGGCAGCTAGCACACAGCTCCCGGGCTGCCGGCTGCCTTTTTATAATCACATTTGGATGCCCCCATCTCGCCCCAGGCAGCCAATCCCCATCAAGGTTTCCATTTCCCTGCACTCTGCCGAGTTTCATTTTCCCCTCTGTGCGCTGCCTGCTGGCAGAAATGTGGAACTCAAGCTGGGGACTTTGGGAACAGCTAGGAGGAGTCAAAGCCCGTCTCACATAGCAGGACCATAGCCCTGTGGGGCTCAGTGAAGCCTGACGGATGGCACCCCTTGGGGCCCAGAGGTTTTTCACAATCCAACCCAATTAATAACAGTAATGTAATCATCCCTAATTTAATAATAAATACCTCATCGATTGAGCACTTGCTGCATGCCAGGGCCTGTGCAAAGTGCTCTATGTACATGAACTCTTTCCAAAATCCCACGACAATAGTCTTGTGACATGTGACATATCATATACTGGTGTTTTGTTTTGTTATTTTGAGACAGAGCCTCACTCTCTCACTCTGATCCTGGGCTAGAATGCGGGGCGTCAGCCTAGCTCACAGCAACCTCAAATTCCTGGCCTCAAGCCATCCTCCTTCCCGCCTCAGCCTCCCGAGTAACTGGGACTACAGGCGTGCACCACCACGCCTGGCTAATTTTTCCTATTCTTAGTAGAGACGGGGTCTCACTCTTGCTCAGGCTGGTCTGGAACTCCGGAGCTCAAGCTATCCTTCTGCCTCGGTCTCCCAGAGTGCTAGTATTACAAGCGTGAGCCACTGTGCCTGGCCCATATAAACCCTGTTTATAAACCCCACAAAACCTTGGAAATGAAGTCATTTGTTCCATTGTTCTCTCTCTTGGGCTAGCTGCTTCTGGGTGATGGGCATATGGTGAGACCAGTGAAGCCCATGTTCATGTGGCCAGCTTCATACGTCCTTAGCTTTAAAATGCATCTCCTGGCCCTAGGTAATGGATTGAGCATTCTTTTTTTTTTTTGAGACAGAGTCTCACTTTCTTGCCCAGGCTAGAGTGAGTGCCGTGGCATCAGCCTGGCTCACAGCAACCTCAATCTCCGGGGCTCAGTGATCCTACTGCCTCAGCCTCCCGAGTAGCTGGGACTACAGGCATGCGCCACCATGCCCGGCTAATTTTTGTATTATATTTTTTAGTTGGTCAATTAATTTATTTCTATTTTTGTAGAGACGGGGTCTCGCTCAGGCTGGTTTCGAACTCCTGACCTTGAGCAATCCGCCCGCCTCGGCCTCCCAAAGTGCTAGGATTACAGGCGTGAGCCACCACGCCCGGCTGGATTGAGCATTCTTTAAAGCCTTTGGATGGTGATGCTTGCAAAAACACTCTGGATAAGAAATGCGACCTGTATGTGGAGGACATAGCAATTCCAGTAGAGATGAATTGTTGCCTTCCCCAAAGTGGAAGGGGTCTGACATAATTGACCTGCCACCAGATGGCTGGCTACTCTCTCTGAGCTATGTTGCCATATTGCTACCTGCTGCTGGCAGATTGGCTATTGTTGGCAATTTCAGATCAGCCTTGTGAGAAGGAGCTCAAGTTGTCGGGGCATTTATAACCCTATCCTGGCTATCACGGACACTCTTGTGGTGGGTCTATTGCAAAGCAACAGGGGGCTAAGCTTAGAGGCAGGCTGACATCTGCAGGATGGGCCACCCTGACTGCCTGGCTGCAGAGCCTCCTCTGCAGTAGAGGATCTCTGGTCAGCGTGGATGTGAGACACAGACATCCACGTGCTTTGTGCCCACTCCTGTAGTTCCATCCATATGCCCCTTGCTCAGAACGGCTTATTCCTAATCTTCCAATCTGCTCTTCCCATGCCCTTGACCAACTAGCCAAGCCATTTGCCACTTATTAGGAATCGGTGTGTGTTTGTACCTGGCCTGGCTCTCTCCACGCAAAGGGGATAAGAAAGTATACTGCTCATAGTTCTGCCTCTTGGGAGGGTTCACTACTGTCCTTCTGGGTGACCCCCAACTGGGACTGTAATAGTGTGACACATTTTCAGCTCATACCAAAATACTAACTTATCTGTGAATTGCATTCAACTCTTTTCCTCCTTTGTCAGCTGGTTGCAGGGAACCCTCCATGAGACTATAGGTGGGGTCAAAGGAGAAGTGTCAGATTCACAGAATTAGGTGTCATAGAAGTTCATTTAACTCACTTGTGCCTTTTGGACTCCTCTAGCCTTTGCATATACCACTTCCATCACATATTAAATTATTGCTGTGCCTTTCTGATGATGTCCAACTGAAGGTAAATAGCCACCTGGCATCCGGTGGTCACTCTGGGGGCCAGTGACATTAGAACTCTTCTTCCCAAATGGACCACAGTGAGCTTAGCCTTACTCCAGAGCCCTAGCAGATCTCACTGCAACTCTCCCGTTTGGACTTTCAGAGACTCCCTACAGAACCTTTATCCATCTTACCCAGATACATCCAGCAACATTGTGTCTGCAGGATCATTTAATCCCACGTGGCAGATAGCTGTTTTGTGGCCTCAACCTGCTGTACAGCTAAGAGGGAAAAAAACACTCAAAAAACCCCACTCAACATGCCTTTTCTATTCTCTCACTTAACAACAACAACCAACACAGAAAACTGTGACCAAATATGAGGAGTTTTCCCCACACCAAGCAGCAGACACCAGCTGGGTGTCCTCTGATTCCATCCTGACACATCTACCTGGAGATAGTGACATTAGGCAAATGGGCTCGCTGCCCAGTGCACACAGAAGCCAATATTGTGGCACCAGCTTTTGAGAAAAGAAAGGCTTTATTGTAAGACTGGCCAGCGAGAAGACAGAAGGAGGACTTTATCTCCCTGATTTGGGGTCTAGGGCAACGGTATGGACTCAGAGGGCAAGAGGAAGGATTTAGGGATGTTGGCTTGGCAGGGTCTGATTGGAAGGCTTTAAATGTGACCATCCACTGTACGATATGTTGAGGCAGATTTTACTCCTATATATTTTGGGCCAATGAACCCCTCACTTTTGAAAGAGTCCTGGCATTTAGGTTTTGGTCATGTCCTGGTGTTTTGGTTTTTTTGTTTTTTTTTTCAGAATGGTGTTTTTTTTTCTTTCCTTTTTTTTTTTTTTATTTCGGCATATTATGGGGGTACAGATTTTAAGGTTTCAATAAATGCCCATTTCCCCCCCTACCCCCAAAAGTCTGAGTCTCCATCATGACCATCCCCCAGATGGTGCACATCTCACTCATTATGTATGTATATACCGCCCCCCTCCCCCTCCCACCTGCCCAATACCCTATTACTGTAGTACCTATGTGTCCACTTAGGTGCTACTCAGTTAATACCAGTTTGCTGGAGAATATATCTGGTGCTTGTTTTTCCATTCTTGGGATACTTCACTTAGTAGTATGGGTTCCAGCTCTAATCAGGAAAATATAAGATGTGCTATATCACCATTGTTTCTTAGAGCTGAATAGTACTCCATGGTATACATATACCACATTTTATTTTTTTTTTATTTATTTATTTTTTCTTTGTAGTACAGAGGGATGGAAACCACATTTTATTAATCCATTCTTGGATTGATGGGCACTTGGGCTGTTTCCACAGCCTTGCAATTATGAATTGTGCTGCTATAAACATTCGAGTGCAGGTGTCTTTTTTGTAGAGTGTCACTGGATCATTTGGGTAGATGCCCAGCAATGGGATTGCTGGATCAAATGGTAGATTCACTTGTATCGCTTTAAGGTATCTTAAGGAGGACTTTGCTTAATTGCTTAATTCCAAAGTCCTTAAGGAGGACTTTGCATATTGCTTTCCACAGAGGTTGAACTAGTTTGCAGTCCCACCAGCAGTGTAGGAATGTTCCTCTCTCTCTGCAACCACGCCAGCATTTATTGTTTGGAGATTTTTTTTTTTAAATTTTTTTTTTATTTTGGCATATTATGGGGGTACAGATTTTAAGGTTTCAATAAATGCCCATTTCCCCCCTCCCCCAAAAGTCTGAGTCTCCATCATGACCATCCCCCAGATGGTGCACATTCACTCATTATGTATGTATATACCCGCCCCTCCCCCCTCCCCCTCCCAATACCCTATTACTGTAGCACCTATGTGTCCACTTAGGTGCTACTCAGTTAATACCAGTTTGCTGAGAATATATCTGGTGCTTGTTTTTCCATTCTTGGGATACTTCACTTAGTAGTATGGGTTCCAGCTCTAACCAGGAAAATATAAGATGTGCTATATCACCATTGTTCTTAGAGCTGAATAGTACCTCATGGTATACATATCCACATTTATTAATCCATTCTGGATTGATGGGCACTTGGGCTGTTTCCACAGCCTTGCAATTATGAATTGTGCTGCTATAAACATTCGAGTGCAGGTGTCTTTTTGTAGAGTGTCACTGGATCATTTGGGTAGATGCCCAGCAATGGGATTGCTGGATCAAATGGTAGATTCACTTGTATCGCTTTAAGGTATCTCCATATTGCTTTCCACCGAGGTTGAACTAGTTTGCAGTCCCACCAGCAGTGTAGGAGTGTTCCTCTCTCTCCGCAACCACGCCAGCATTTATTGTTTGGAGATTTTTTGATAAAGGCCATTCTCACTGGGGTTAAGTGATATCTCATTGTGGTTTTGATTTGCATTTCCCTGATGATTAGAGATGTTGAGCATTTTTCATATGTTTGTGGCCATTCTTCTGTCTTCTTTAGAAAAGTTTCTGTTCAAGTCCTTTGCCCACATTTGAATGGGTTATTTGATTTTTCTTCCTGAATTTCGTGAGTTCCAAGTATATTCTAGTTATCAGTCCCTTATCGGATGCATAGGATGCAAAAATTTTCTCCCATTCTGTAGGTTGTCTGTTTACTTTCATGACTATTTCTTTGGCTGTGCTGAAGCTTTGTAGTTTGATCATGTCCCATTTATTTATTTTTGTTGCTGCTGTGATTGCCTTTGGGGACTTCTTCATAAACTCTTTGCCCAGGCCGATGTCTAGGAGAGTGTTTCCAACTTTTTCCTCTAGAGTTCTAATAGTTTCATACCTTAGGTTTAAGTCTGTTAT